CCGACCCTGACCCTCGGAGACCCGCCCAGCCGAGGATGCCCCTCTTTTCCCGCCACCGCCTCGCTCCCCGCGGGATCAGTTTAGCCTCGGCAAGGGATGCTCCAAAGGCTGGGGCGTGCGTGAATTCCCTTGTGCCGCCCCTTCCCAGAACTGGGGTCTTCCTGCGGCTGGAAAGCCTCCCCGCTCTAACTCGCCCGGGACCCTCTTCTCTCATCGGTTTCTAGACTTTGGCAGGACCCGGGGCTCAAATGAGACCTTCAGGCCCCTGCCTGCCTAGCAGAGAGCGGAAGGCCGGGAATCAGGGGATTCCCCAATCCCCCTGGGGCTTGCCCGCCCTCCTCCTTTCCCTCCATCTCCTCGGGCCTGGAGCCTCTGGGCTGACAATGGGCTCCTCTGTGTTGCCTGGGGAAGGCGGGAGTGTGCGGGAGTCAGGGAGCAGCGAAGGCTTGGGATAGGGGGCGGACATCGTGGCCGAGGGGGCAGGGTTCCCGGATCGGGATGCTCATGGAGGGCGTGCATTTCGCCGGACATTTTCTGAGTTCTCTCCTCTGTGGCCCTTCCCTTCCGCATCCCTATCTGTCTATTCGGCTAGAAGAGAGAAGGCACCAGGCCTCCAGTTCGAGAATTCGGTACTGGATGCCAGCCCCTTCCTTCTGTTGGGGTGATTATAGCGTCCCGCAGGGCCGCTAGGGCTCGTGGCCGTGGAGATGGGTATTTGGCGCAGGAGACAAAGCGGGGTGGGCTAGTTACGAAAGTTCTAGCCTCACTCCCTCATCAAACCCCAAGCGTCCCCCGACCATGTCTGAATGGGAAAGGAAGGCCGGATGGAGGTCTCCCAGGAACCCGGGGAGAGGCACGGGCACGGCGGGGAGATGCCCTGCCTGGCCTCTGAGCAGGCACTGGGAAGCCCCGCAGCTCCGTGAGCCCTTCTAAAGGGTGGACGGAAAGGAGAGGAGAGGAGATCAGAAAGCCGAATAGTCCCCGGAGGGGCGTGAACGCGTGTGCCCCTGCAGCTGGAGGGCGATGATGAGAAAACGTCTGGCCTCGCCTGCAGTTCCTCAGAGGCCAGAGCCTCTGGGCAGTTGTTGGAACAGCGGGAGGGGAGGCGGGGGAGCCGCCAAGGTGACTTGCTCTTCTCTCACCTCCTCTGGACGCTAACCTCCACCTTTTTCTCCGCTCCGCTGAGCCTGGAAAAGGACAGAGCAAATGTTCATCCTTCTTAGAGGCAAGAAGAGGCCTCTGCTCCATAGCGTCAAAAAAGAACCGATGGCAACAAGCCCCAGTAACCATCTTCCACGCACAGTTACAGCTGTGGAGTTGGAGCTCTTTCTAACACTGGGTTATAGGACCCTCGAGTCACCGACACTCTCCAGAGCTAGGAGAGTGAGATTTTGCTACCCCCTGGTGTCCATTCCGTAAATACTGCCCAGTGGCCGGTTACAGGGGCCAGTGTTTAAAAAACCTTATCCACTTGTCTCAAATCCAGCTCATTCATTCTCGGTGTTGAGAGTGTCTGAACCTTTCCTCACCAGGCCTTCCATTCCCCATATTGTTTAGGGAACCCTTGGTAGGGTCGAAGGTTGTCCATTGGACTCCAAGGCTCACTACTCTTAGGTAGTGGAATATAAATTAATCTGGCTATGGGGGTCCACAAACTCCTGGGAAAAGGGAGTGGATCTTTTTTTTTTTTCATGGAGAAAAAGGGGAGCCACTGAAAGTTTTTGAGCTGGTGGGGTAAGGAAGTTTGGATACAGAATCAGGGATGCAGTTACCCCTTCTTTCCAGGAGTTT